TGGTTCCAACTTGTAAGTCTAAAGCCTGATTTTGGTTTTTAGTTTCAAAACTTATATCCTTTTCTTTTAAAAAAAAAAAAACTAAGTTAGTTTTCCGCTGCTGATTTCTGAAACTAGCCTTAACGTTTGAACACGTGGCGGTAGCACTCCAATAATTCTCTTACAGGTTTTACAGGTTATTACAGGTTATACAGGTTTTACAGGTTATACAGGTTATTACAAGTTTTTGCAGGTTTTCTTTTAGAGAGAATTATTGGGGTGTTACACCTAGTGTTAGCGCCACGCACTCGGCCAGCAATCCTAGCTTGTGCGTGCGCGCACCAAGCTCGGGTTGCGGCAGTGCTAGCCTTGCGGCATGAACCTTGGCTAGCCATGCTAGCCTACCTAGTCCTCGTATGGCTAGGCCATTGCGAAGCTAGGATTTTCGTGCACGTTGACTTGTAGTTTGACCGATTTTTCCGTCTAGTCGATTTTTAAATTCGACTCGACTTTCGACGCTCGGCTTCAACGCTCTAAGCTCGGAATCCGACGTCTTAAATCATAAAATCTCTATCAACTCATTTAATCCTTTGGATTAATTTGTTGCTTTGGTTTGGTTACACGATTGGGAGTGACCCGAAGGGTTCAGTCAAGATTAAGCGGAAATATTAATTATACATTAATATTACTGATCGGAAGCGGCCTCCAGCTAGGCATTCCGATCACTTGACCACACTGAATAATTAGCTTTCCTAATTAATTCCGAACCCTCTATCGGAATAATACACTTGTTCGAAGGACACCATTCCTTTCAATCTCCTACTTGTCCTTCCAGACAAGTGTGCTATTTGTGTAGAACCTGTTTCCTATGTCACTTAATGTCTTTTCGTGAACTATAAGGTAAGACTTTTCGTCATCTTTATTACGTCCAGAAGTGTTTCTTGATTTTTGAGTTCGACTGTCAATAAGAAGATGATTTCTAAAATCCATCAGAGCACGGTCATGTATTTTCACAGTCTCGCTCTTTGAGAAGCCTTGTAAATAACAAAGACATGTTCCTTATTGTTAATAGGGGGACATTCCCAGTCTTGCATTCTAAGATTCCCTTAATAAGAGGCCCTAACTGCCTGAGTGTTGCCTTTGTAATCCCCTTGTACGGCAGACGTTTGACAACATCAAAGCGGACTAGTACTCAAACAAGAGAACTTACAATACTCATGGTTGAGGAAAGAGGTTTCGATAGCCATAATGAGCAATATACTTATGACAATTGTTAAATCTCTTACAGTATTCTCATAGGTTAATCCATTATAATTCCAAACCAATACCTGCGCAAATGATTTATGACATTCTTGTTATAGCACAAGAAACATTGCTATAAATCATACTACACACTAATCTCACGCGGTCATTAGTCGTCCAACTTTCAAATGACCTCGATCAGGGATAATTTCGATATAATATTCAACGTTCACTTAAGAGGTGTTTCTTTATCCAAAACTTGTCTTGATACCCTATTTTGAATATCATCAAATCGAATGGACTTATTATTTAATTCTAAACCACAATTAAATAGTTTGTGGAATAATTAGTAAATTTTATTCCACTATGAAACTTTTCAACGTTTCATCATATGATAAATGGTTTTCACTAAATGTTTTAAGAGTAATACTCAATACAAAACATTTATGGAAATCACACCCATATCTAATATGCTTGATTTCCTTTATGCAATTGAGTTTATGGATTATTATACTTGATTTTGGATTTATTGTCTAAGTGATGGCTCCAACTCATTTTCATGATTTGAGATCTTCAACTTGACAACCTACAATCATCAAAGTTCAACAACGAACTATCCATTTAACAACTTCCTAATTATTACCTCTAAGGCAACAATGTTCTCAACATATACTTTAGTTGATTTCCTAATGATGCTTTGGTTGGATTTTACTCCTACTGGCTCATAATGATATAGATACCCTAATCATTTGTGATTATGGGAATTTACCTTAAATTTCAGCATAATATACATGGACATAAGTTCATGTTGCCATTCTCAAGCCACGATGCGTCTTAATCTCGTGCTTATAAATGGCTTCCTCATCAAGGATCAAATCCTTGCCGAGGTTGTGCTTATTACATTAATACTCAAATTATATTTGTTTACATGCATCAAGAACTCATCCTTTTACTTAATCAAGAACTTTGGACGTTCTTGATCATAATCTAAGGATTCATTGCTTAGATTCAAGTCGATTGGTATTTTATACTTGTCATGCTCTAAGCATGCAGGTCATGTGACGATTCCATATCATAGCATACATGATGGATCTAATTGCAAAATTATTCCAATTTGATCCCATTCAGCTTATCCAGTTTCACCGTGTCCTGTTAAAATGTTTGCTATATGGTTGTAAGTCTCTACTTGAGTCTTTCTTGTTTGACTTAGTATTTGCCTAGCTTATACTTAGTTCAAACAATTACTTACTCTTTTTTTTTTTGGTAGGTAAGAAGCATTTATTACCAAAAAGAAGGAGGGAAAGCCCTCACCCAAACTACAAGAGCCAAAATGGCCAAACAATCCACCAAAAAACAAACTAGCTCATAAGCTTACAACATGCTAAACAACTCGCAACTAAAAAACGAAGCTAAAACAAAGAGACGAACATCAAAAACTAAAACAAGCTTCCTAACACTAAAACACAATCCATCAAAAAACGACACACACAGCAGCAAGGGAAGCAGCTCTAAGCAGGCCAGACAGTGACAACAGCCTGCACAGAACACAGAGCCTAGCTGCAGCACAACCAAAACTAGCCTGCACAGAGAACATAACACAAAAACAGCACATAAGCAGCCTGCAGACAATACCTCAACTACCCAACACCTCAGAATCCAGTAACACAGCAAACACAGCAACAACCACAAACACAACACAACAGCACAACACTGAAACAGCACCAGAGAAGCAAAGCAAGCTAAGGGGGAGTTGTTCGTCTCAGGTCAACTAGCCATTTGCAGTGTTCCTTTTTCCACTTTGGACCAATCAATTGATGACATCTATCAATAACAGCAACACCAATCCTAGCACATAATCTGTGAGGCAGAGGGACAGCTTGATTCAAGAAAGCAGAATTCCTAGCCAGCCAAACAAAGTACACAACAACAGTCAACCTAGCCAAAACAACCTTCCTGCTTATAACATCCCTCTTTGATCTCTTCTAGTGTTTCCACGAGGCCTCAATATTATAATGCCTCTCCTTATGCCAAGCCAAGCACTGATCACATTAATACACTTCCTACTATATAAGCAATCAAAGAACAGATGGTCCTTGCATTCAACCTGATCACCACATAGCAGGCAGCAGCTACTGTCACACGCACCAAAATTCAAAATCTTTTGTTTAGTTCTTAACCTACCCCGGACTGCCAACCATGTTATAAAAGAGTGTTTAGGAACATTATACCTGTTCCACACCCAATCAGTCCAACCAACTCTAGGCATGTTACCTTGAAGCCATTTATAAGCCTTAGAAATTGAGTACTGCTGACTGCTTCAATTACCAGCCAAGAACGCCTCCTTCAGTCCCTCCTTAACCTTGAAAATCTTCCTCCAAGCCCACCCATCAGCCTTCTTAGGGGAATAAGACCACCAGTCATACTCCTTCAAATAAACACTATGCACCCACCTCACCTAAAGAGAGTCCTTCTTAATTAGTAGCAACTTGCCACACATACTTCCCCAAAGCAGCTGTATTCCAAAGAGAACAATCCCTCACCCCAAGACCACCAGCTAACTTAGGACAACACACCCACTTCCAAGCCAAAGGGGGACTTTTAGAGAGAATAGCAGAGCCACACCAAAGGAAAGCTCTACATAATTGATTTATCCTAGCCACAACAGATTTGGGAAGTAGCATACACTGAGCCCAGTAGGAGTGTAGGCTGATGAGAACAGAGTTAAGGAGCACAACTCTCGCTGCGTAGGACATATTCCTACTAGACTAACAAGTAATTTGAACTAGCATTTTGTCTACTAGCCCATCAAAATCAGTCACTCTCAAGTACCTTGCATTAAGGGGAATACCCAGATACTTAAAAGGAGCAACACCCTCAACAAATCCAGATAAATCCAAAATAGCAGCCTTCTCACCAGGATTGACATTGCCAAAGTAGATGGCTATCTTGTCAGCATTAGCACCAAGCCTAGAAATAGCTTCAAAAGTTCTCAACGCTCTCACCACATAAGAAATAGACCTTATATCCCCATGAGCAAAAATCATTAGATCATCGGCAAAGATCAAGTGATTAAGCTTTAAATCCTTACATCTATAATGAAACTTAAAGGCCCTCATCTTCTCCACTTTCTTTAACATCCTAGTCAAGTACTCCATAACGATAACAAAAAGAAGAGGCGACATAGGGTCACCCTGTCTCACCCCTCTCTGCCCTTTAAAGAAGCCATGAAGCCCTCCATTAATCATTAAAGAATAATAGGGGGAGGACAAACACTCCATCACCCACTGAATAAACTAAACAGGAAAGCCAAGACTACTTAGCATCTCTCTAATAAAAGACCAATGAACAGAATCGTAAGCTTTTTTCAAGTCCACTTTTATAGTACATTTTGGAGATCTCCTCTTGTTATTGTAATCTTTTAACATGTCTTGACAAACTAAGATATTATCCATAATACTTTTCCCAGCCACAAACGCACGCTGAGAGTCATCAATAAGCACATGAAGCACCTCCTTCAACCTTGAACAAATGAGCTTCGAAATGATTCTATACAAGACATTGCAACAAGCAATAGGTCAAAACTGACCTACCGAGAAGCCCCCTAAACCTTAGGCACCAAAGTGAGAGTAATGGCACTCACTTGCTTCAGAAGCTTACCATGAAGGAAGAAATCCCACATAGCATCACAGACCTCCCCTTTAACAATGTGCCAAGCAGATTTTAAAAAACAGCTAGAAAATAAAACCATTGGGTCCTGGAGCTTTATCTTCATCAATACACTATAGGGCAGCCTTGATATCATCCTCAGAGAACTCCCTACACAGAGCTGATTGGTGAGCATTGTCCAAGACAACTCCTTCCAGGATAACAGCCTGATGCACACCTTGAGAAGGGGGCGAAGAAGTGCCAAGTAGCTTCTTATAAAAGCTCAGAAAAGCATTAATAACAAGATCAGGGGAATCAAACACACTCCCATCAGGAAGCTAAATGCATGAAATTCTGTGTTGGACTCTTCTCTTTCTAACACAAGCATGGAAGTATGATGAATTAATATCACCTTCCTTTAACCAGTGCAACTTAGCCTTTTGTTTCATGAACTTGTACTTGATGGCCCGAGCAGTAGCATATCTCTCCCCAGCCAATTTTTCTTCAAGCAGAATCTCCTCATTCAAAGGATCAGAACCAAGCCTCTTTTGAACAGCCTCAAGTTCAATAGCAACCTTGAACTCCTTAGAGTCAATATCAGAGAATTACTTCAAGTTAATCTGCGTTAACCTTTGTTTAACATCCTGTAACTTTTTAAAAGCTATAAACATAGCAGTACCCTGAAACTCAACAGCCCAAGCAGAGCTAACAGCATCCCAGTACCCAGGAGCATCCACCCAACAGTTAAAAAACCTAAAAGGTTTGTTACCACCACAAGCCTCCCCAAATAGAGTTATGCTACAGGGACAATGATCCATCAAACCTTCAGGCAGAAAGGAAACCGAGTAATTTTTGAGCTGTTATTCCTAAGCACTATTAACAAAAACACGATCTATTTTGGAACACACTCTAGCCTCCCCCTGCTACTTATTACTCCAAGTGAAAAAAGCCCCACCAAAAGCTGCTTCTAAGAGCTCACACTGAGCCACACACTCCCTAAACTGCTCTACCTCCCTCAAGGTACAAGGAGAACCCAGCCTATACTCAAGATTAAGGATATTATTAAAGTCTCCACACACTATCCAAGGACTCGTAATAGAACCTGCTATCTCAATCAACTGATGACAATGAGCTTCTCTCTCCTTCGCAGTATTAAGGCCATAAACCATCATGTATAAAAAGACACACCTAATAGCCCTGTGAACCACTCTTAAATGCATCAACTGAACTTCAACTCTCAACACTATCACCTCAAAGATGCTGGGAAGCCAAAGAACCCAGATCTTGCCCTTATCCACCTTCTCATAATTAGCACAAACAGCCTAATCATTTTTAAAACTACAAAAAAACCTTACCAAAATTCTTCCCCTTCACCTTGGTTTCAATGAGGCCAAATAAACCCATATGATTGTGCTTGAGGAACCAGAGCACATCATATACTCTTTCAGGTCCATTTAACCCTCCTACATTCCAAAATCCACACCTATCCATGGAAAGAGTGAGAATACACTCCTCCTCCTATATCACCAAACAACACTCTTCCATCTGCAAGCAATTTATTCCCAGAGCTATGCTGACCTGCTCCCTTATGTATCATATTCCCTTCATCCACCTCTTCCTCAATAAGATTCAAGAACCTGTTAGCAGTACGTATATTCCCCTTGATAGGATCATTAGACTGTCTTTGATCTTGTCTCTAGACCGGTTGTCAAGCTTTCTGCTCAAACTGCTCCTTCTTCTAAATTGTCTTCCTTTTCTGCCTTGCCTGAACCAAATGATTAGGACACTTAGACACATCATGTCCTAGACCATTGTACATAGAACACTTCACTGGCTTCCATTCAAACACAACTTCTTGGTGAACAACTCTACCCTCCTCATCCAGAAAATCCACATACTCAGGAAAATTACCATCCACCTGAACTTCAACCATTACTCTAGCATATTCCAATAACTCTTTTGAAGCAGTAGCCTTATCAGTTTTGATCGGGTTACCAACAAGACCAGCAATCTTCATTAGAGTAGCCTGACTCCAAAACTTCAGGTTTAAGTCAGGAAACCTAACCCAAACTGGAATCTGCAGTATGGTATCCTCAGAAAGATCTAAACCAGGTTCCCACTTCCTCATAATGAGAGGTTTCCTGTCAAACAAATATGGCCAAGCATTGAAAGCGTTCTCCTTCGCATCTTAAGTTTTAAATCGTACTAAGAAAATCTCCTTACCCTTCGAAGCAATCTTATCAATCCCATACCTCCCCTAGATTCTTCTAAGAAAACCCCCCATTACAGGGATAGACGGTTTAGCACAAAGCACATGACAAACAATTGAAGAATCCTAAAACTCAAGTTCTAGTTTAACATCATCACAAGAAATTTGCATCAATTTATCATCATGAACATCCTTACTACACGAATAATACTTCCAAGTAGTATTCCCACTTCCCAAATTCCAACCCTCGTCTAGATGATAAACAGACCCTTCCAGCTTATAGCCTCACTACCCCCTTGTTCATTGCAAATAGGAGATTTAGGTTGAGAGCCCTTAGGTTCTGAATCAATCTTACCCCCAACATCAATATTCTTGAGGAAATTATTCTCAAATTCATGGATATCAGCATTAGATTCAGTGATCATAAGCAGAGGAGTAGGATTATGAAACCCAGCATTCAAATTAGAGCTACTAATACGCTTATCAGAATTAACCACCATTGAAGGACAATTAGGGGTTTCATTTATCACCTCAAGCCACTGATTGAAATAATGTTTATGAATCTTCTTGTTCTCCTCCGAAAACTCCCTGATTGGAATCTCATCCACCATAGCCCCATTAAGCCAGCTTTCAATCGAACCCACTTCATCAGCATTACCCTTCTCATCGATTTCCACTTTTTTACAGGATTTAATCTTAGTTCGTTGCTTTTTCTTGGCTTTAGAAGAAGATTTAGAGTTAGATTTGTTCTTAGCTTTGCCTTTTTTACGATTAGCCATAGCCCAATCAAAGATTTCACGCGAAAAAGGCGGCTCAGCGAACTTTCTCTCTCTACTTTCTCACTTTCACTTTTATTTGATTCAATTAGCATTAATTACTTAGTCTTATACATATGGATTGAAGGCCTTTTCAAGTCCTTCATGTTTAATATGGTAAATTCCTTTATTAGTTCAAAATTTTTATTAAGTCTATACAACAATCTTAATTCCCACTATGTACTAAGTATCGCCTTTAGCTTGGTCCATCATTGAAAAATTCTTTCAAATCTAAGCATTTAGCATTTGATAGTTATTTTACAATAGAGTTCGTAAACTTCTTATTGGACCTTATAAAATTGACTTTTGCTCCCACTAAACTTCTTTATTCTAAGAATTTCCATGTTTCTTAACAAGCCAAACCTTATATTAACTTTATGAGAAAACCCATCCAATTCCTACATGCTTCCCTCAATCCACCAATGGATTTTTTTGAGCTTGCTTTCAAATCTAGAATTATTTAGAATAATCAAAACCCTTAGACTATTTCCATAGTCTCTTCCAAAATCCTATTTTAAGGAAGGCAGTTTTGGTATCTATTTTGTTGTATTTCATATGCACAATTTTGCTAGAATAATCACGAAAAGAGTTAAGCATTCCAATTAGTGAATATGTATTATTAAAATCAACGCCGTGGATTTAATTATCACCCTTTCAACAAATCTAGCTATGTATACATATACAATTCCATATTTGTTAGTTGTCTCCTTGAAAACTTATTTTCATTTGATGGGTCTTTACCCTCCATGTAAATTAATCAAGTTTCAAACATGATTTTCAAACATAGAGTCTATTTCGTATTTTTATGGCCTCTAATCATTATTCGAAATTTGGATTTGTCGTAGCTAATTTACAAGACACTATTCCCTTACCATCCAATAGTAAATAATATGCTTGTAAGTCTTAGGTTTATTTCTAACTTAATAGAAACTTTACAGGATTCAATCCAAGCCTTTTGGTGAATTCGATACCTATACGGGGTAATTGCATCAAACACTGGGTCTCAAGGCGCTTTTAAAGTCTTTTGATTATATTGATCTTACTCCCACACTTCTAAAGTTTTTGTGAGTAATGCATTCTCTTATAAGGCACTTGTAAAGTCCTTTGAGTATTCTTGATCAATCATTCTCATGAAGCCCTTCTAAAGTCTTCCGAGATTCTCATTTCTAGTTTGTTGCTAATCTCAATGGTCATCGAGATCATTTTCCTCCCACTTGTCGTTTTCGAAATGTGTTATTTTCCAGAAAGACACCACTTAGAGCAACAAATACTATGTTCTCAATCAGGTAGTGGAAGTAATGCCCATAGTCTCACTTGAATGCTTACAAAGAGACATGTATATTGTCTTTGGGTAAAAGTTCATTGTGAAACAAACAATTAGCTTGATTGCTTACAAAGAGACATGTATATTGTCTTTGGGTAAAAGTTCATTGTGAAACAAACAATTAGCTCCCACTCGAGCTACCTTAGCCCTTATTGAGCCAATTAGCTCCCACTGAGCCAATGAACTCCCACTGAGCAAAGAGCCCTAGACATATACTTGAAAAGGCGCTAGAAACTATTTCTATCCATAACTGAATATGACGTCCTTTCTTAGCTTTGACATTTTATTTAGTGTAACATTAGTCATTTGTGAAAATCTTTAAGAACTTTATAGGAAGGGATGTGATCCATCATCGTTCGAGTCATTTCCGAATGGCATCGAAGTCTCCGTGAAGACATACTATATTCTTTGTGGAGTTATTTACGAAATTTCAATTTCATAACTTTGAGATGATTACTTTTGGCTCAAGCAAACATCGCTCGATCTAATCTAGATGTTTTGATATCTTGCCAAGTCGATTCTATACGTCACTGAACTTTTGAGCTACTCAAGATCCAGTTTGTTCACTTTTGATGAATATAGTCATATTCTTTCAAATTTTTGTGAAAACGTTGAAGTAATGGAATCCTCTTTAGCTTTTGGAGTCAATTATCTATACCAAGCACAATAGATCTTTTCTTTGTCGATTTCAACAAGTAAGACTTGCTTGTCTTAGAATGATTCTGAATCGATCAACTTTCAAGAGTCTACTTAATAGAGCCTTGAGTATGTTCTTGTCAATGTGACATTGCTAAAGATGTTCGAAACACAAATCATGTCCATGACTTGAATTTTGTGAGTATTCATGTTAGAGAAATGTTTGTTTATAATCAAGCATCTTTGACTCACGGCTTAAACAACCATACCATTAAAATAAAACCAACAACTATCGCTCTTTTACTTTGAATGTGAGTCTTCCCGTGTGTAAACAAATCGTTTGCTGATTATGGAACACAATAACCATTTATTTGTTCCAGCCTTAGCTTAAAAAGGTCTTTAAACAAAGCAGATGACCTTACAACTGATGTAGCACTACTTACTTCATTCCAAGTTTGTAAGTCAATAATTTAGCTTAACTTCAATGGTTTGAGGTCACTTTAAAAGTGGAGCACTCAAAATGATGGTTAAGAAATCTAATATCATATCATATCATATCACTAATAATCATATCATATCACTAATAAATAAAGCCGAATCTCGCAACCAAGCCACGAGACAACGACACTTGGCATTCTAGTTTTTCGCTAAGTGTCGCGCAACGTAGGCGACAAATAGGTATTATTGTGACACATATGATGCTAAGTAAGCGAATTTTGGATAGTTTTTTTAAGATAAATATGTTGTATAGAGTTTTATTATCAATATATGTTTAATATTTCATATATACAAAATTAATCATAACTTTTAATAAATATCCTATAACTCAGTTCTATTTCCCTCATAAAATTTGTTTTAAAAAGTTTTTTTTTTTTAAAATAAGATCCATTTATAATATATTTAATTTATTTACAAAAATAATAGAGAATTAGTAAAAAATAAAGTTCAATAAAAATAGTTTCAAGTTAATAATAACATAGATATATATTTACAAACAAAACTACAAAAAGTACACTATTATTTAATTAAATAAGCGATATGACATAATATCTCTAAATGTCCTACATTATCAAAAACATTGTAGGATCGTATTTAATATTCAAGGAAAAAAGATTATCTTGAAATTTTATCAACAATTTGGGCATCGCCCGGGCATAAAACTAGTTACTAGTAAATAAAGTCGGATCTCCCTGGTAGGCCACGAGACAATGACACCGACAATAGGAATTCCAGTTATTCAGCAAATGTCGCGCCACGTAGGCGACACATATGTATTATTGTGACACATATGATGCTAAGTAAGCAAATTTTGGACAAATTTTTTAAGATAAAAATGTTGTATGGTGTTTTATTATCAATATACCTCTAATATATCATATATTCAAAATTAATTAATCATAACTTTAAATAAATATCATATAACTCGCTTCTATTTCCATCATAAAATTCATTTTAAAAAGTTTTTTAAAATACGATCCATTTATAACATATTTAAATTATTAAAAAAAATAGAGAATTAGTAAAAATAAGTTTTAATCAGTAAAAATAATTTTCGTTTGGTAAAAATACTTTCAGTTCAGTAAAAATAATTTAAATTCAATAAAAATAATTTCATCTCAACAATAGCATAGATATCTATTTTCAAACAAAAGTACAAAAAGTATATTGTTATATAAATAAGTGATATAATAACGTATGTCTAAATATCGCGCATTACTAAGGGTGTTCAGATCCGAGTACCCGAAAATGTGGGTACCCGGATTATCGGGTAGTTGAGCAACCGACCCATGGCCCGACCTGAGAAACTCTTGATTAAGCAAAATCTGAACAAAATTACTCCATCTTTGAAGAAGATTGTAGTAATCATAAAAAGCTGTAAAAGTAATAAAAAAAAAGTGCTCTAAAATTACTCAAATTATTAGATCTATTACTCAATCAAACACAAATTGAGTTTGACTACTACTTGTAAAGTCAGAAATTCATAACATACCCAACCAAATTTAAATTAAAAAAATTGTGCTTATTAATCAATATAGAGGATATTTGATTACTTACAAAGCACATAGCACTGATACTCTTACAAACTTACAATAATTTCACCCAAAATCAAAACCCATATTCTATGCTCTTACAATTCATCAATA